TATGTAAGATGACATGCTATTAAGTAAAAAGAATGACAATTGTTTTTCCACTAAAGACTCAGTAATGACAAATGAGAACTTAAGCAAATCACTGAACAAATATCTAATTTATTAAGTGTCTTGAAAAAGTTACTGTGTCATCACTGTCAGATTCAAAGTAAAGAGAGAGGACTCCAAAGCCACCTACATTTTAACTTTGGAAATTTATCCAAGATTTTGACCAGGCAAGGAACAGAGATGACACATTTCAAGAGGTTTTAAAAATGTAGTTGTGAAGATCTTGTTAGGAATGTGTTGAGAGCTGTTCGGGTATCGGAACACTGCTGGAGAGCTGCGTTCTGCTCGCGTGTGGGGCCAGGACTGGCTGCACCACACACAGGGTTTCACAGAACACTGCCGGCCACTTGCATCGCCGGGATTCTCTTCACAGTGTGCCCTGTCGCCACCTCCCCTGCTCCCAAATCTTATTTTACTACTTCGATATGGTACTCCTTCATGGGGATGAGGGCATTGTATGTCAGGATGGTCAAATGTTAACAGAAAAAAGGTGGAGGAGGGGTAATGAAGTCTTGAGTGGTTACAGGTCCCTCGATCCCATGATCTCACTTTATAGGCTCTGCATGTCTCTGCTTATATACTACAACAATCAAGACATTGAGGGTACAGTATCTTGGTGTCTGCAGTTTGTCTTTAAGTGGTTCAGTTAAAATAAGATCATGGGGGGTGGGAGAGAGAGAGAGAGAAAGCAAATGTGGTAGTGTATAGATAATTGCTGAACTTGGGTAAAAGGTATACAGGTGTTGGTTGTACCATTTCCTCAATATTTCTGTACGTTTGAAAATTTTCAATATACAAAATTAAGGAAACTTTCTAAAATCTTTAAAAAATTTTATTTATTTTTATTTTATTACTTAAATAAAGTTCACCTGAGAACTTCCAAAACCTTTTTTAAAAAGTATAGGTGATGAAGAACTTACTTTTTAAAAAAGATTTACCAATAGTTGAAGGGCAAAGGAATTTGTGACTGCAATAAAAGTCCATTAATACAGCAAGGCGACCTCTAAAAAAAACAAAAAAGGAAACTTTCTCTTTGTATGTTGACTATGGTTCCTATTGGCTTGGTTTTTTGGTAAACAATTGAGAGGTTTTACTTTTTAGTAGTTTTATATTTATAGATTGAAGAGATAGTACATTGAATTCCATATACTCACTACCCTCTTTAGTTTCCCCTATTATTAACTTCTTGCATCAGTTTGTACGTTTGTTACAATTAATGAACCAATATCGATGCATTTTTATTAGCTAAAGTCCACAGTTTACATCACGGTTTACTCCTTGTGTTGTACATTCTGTGGGTTTTGACAAATGTGTAATGTGTATCCACTATTACACAATCATACAGAGTAGCTGCACTGCCCTAAAAATCCTGGCCTCCACCTATTCATTCCTCCCTCCCTCCCCTCCCCTCCCCAACCTCAAGCAATTACTGATCTTTTTATTGTCTCCATATTTTTACCTTTTCCAAAATGTCGTATACTTGGAATCATACAACACGTAGCCTTTTCAGACTGACTTCTCTCATTTGGCTATATGTGTTTAAGATTCCTTCATGTATTTTTGTGGCTTGATAGTTCGTTACTTTTTATCGCTGAATAACATTCCATTGTATGGATATACCACAATTTCTTTATTCATTCATCTAGTGAAGGACGTCTTTGTTTCTTCCAGTGTTTGGTGATCATGAGTAAGCATTAAGGTACAAGTTTTTGTGTGGACATAAGTTTTCGACTCAATTGAGTAAATACCTAGGAGAGTGATGGATGGATCCTATGGTAAGATTATGTTTAGCTTTGTAAGAAGCAGCTAAACTGTCTTCCAAAGTCTTTGTACCATTTTGCATTCCCACCAGCAATAAATGAGCATTCCTCTTGCTCTGTATCCTTGCCAGCATTTGGTATTGTTAGTTTTCATTAGTTTTTTTGTATTTTAGCCATCCTAGTAGGGATGTCATGGTATTTCATTGTTGTTTTAATTTGCAATTCCCTAATGACACATACTGAGCATATGCTTTTTGCCACCTGTATATTGCCATCTCTACTTTGGCGAGGTATCTGTTTAGATCTTTTGCTCAGTTTAAAACTGGGTTGTTTTCTTATTGAGATTTGAGTGACTTTTTTTTTTATAAAGTGGGTCTTCTCATGAATATAGGGTGGGGGTTCAACATGAATTCAATTCATAGGAAACTGTTGCAGCCCCTCAGCTGGGTAGTGAAGGAAGGAACGATTACTCAAAACACATAGTGTTTAGAGAGAAGAGGAGAGACCAAAATCTGAAGGAGAAAATGGCCTCCTCAGCTAACTTCCTCCCCGTATTTATCTCCAAGGACACGTGCAAAGGGTCAGGGCCATTTGCTAATTTCTTTAACAACTTCCAAACAAGTCAGCTGTTTTCAGCTAGCCTTTGCACTCAGCAAACAAGCAGCTTTGGGCAGGTGTTTTCACCTATCCCTTCATTCACCTTCCTCACGTTCTTTCCATCCATCCATCCATCCATCCTTTCTTCTAGGCCCAGTCCCTACAGGCAACTATGGCAGGTGTTGCTACTCTCATACCTGGTGTTTGTATTCCCCTATTCCCTTACTTACCCTGACATTGTTCCACAGAAAGTCCCAGCTTAAAATGCTTAGTATTTCAGACTCCTTTACAGCTAAGGGTGGTCATGTGACATGGATCTGAACAATAAGAAGCAAGCAGAAGGTGCTGGCTAGGGGTTCCTAGAAAGATGCAGACTCCATTGGCATGTACCTGTTTGATGTTTTGCCCTTTACCCGCCCCCTACCATTTTCCTGAATGTGATGCAATGCCTTGATGGGAAGCAGCCATTTTGTGAGGATGATGACAAAGGTCACATAACAAGGACAGTAGAGCCAATGGCTAAAAGGAGCCTGAAACACAATGATACTGTGGAGTTGCAAAAGCTCTGGAGCTGTCTCTAGACTTCTTGTTTTGTGATAAGAAGTGCCCCATTTGATAAGCACTTTAGTCAAGATTCTGTTACAGGTAACCAACTCACTCCCTGATTCAGCAACATTTTTCAAGCACTTATTAAGGGCGAGGCACCATTAGTGGTGGATATTAGCCCCCTAACATGACTACTCCGAGCAATTTTTATTTACAGGACTAGTTCAAAGAAGTACTATATTTGATATGATTTTTTATTATGGACACAGTATCAAGGGTAGAGTTACATTTACTACATGTTCCACACTGGATGGGCATTATGAGGACAGGAAAGAGGAGTATTAAATCAGGATTTTACCGTCATGGAAACGATGATCTAATTAGAGAGATAAAATTGACCCATATGAAACAAACCTGAACACTTCAGGACAGTGCAATTAAGGGCTAATAGTGGGTCCAAACTAATGTAGCAGCAGTTCATACAAGGCAGGGGTCTCTGAAGAGGGAGCAGCTGAGGAAATATGGTTAGCAACCTTGCAAACACATCCTGGGTATCTATACCTTCGTATTTTTGAGTTCTAAATTAATGGTCTAAATATAGACCCGGAACTATTCTCCTGGGTAAGTGAAGATGAAATGAAAGAAAGTCATTTTAATTTGAATATCAATTTAGCATTGAACTCAGCAGAAGTTTATCACTCTGGTCTCCATACTTCAAATACTGGGACATTGGAATCATTCACTAAAATTCTGTTTACCTTATTAATTACCAGAATATTTTATGTTGGCATGATAAGGAAACTGAAATATATGTCATCTTAAAATAGACCCTATAAAATTCTTCTTTCGAAAGTAATGTAGGTTAATAGATTAGGCGTCTTATGAAGAGGGATGCATGATTTTTCTACTGCATTTCTGCAAACTTCGGTAAAATTATCAACTGCTATTCATTTTCCCAGCGTTTTGTTGCTGTTACTATCTGGAACAAGATGTTGATCATTATCACACATTTGTAAAGACAAGAGCAAAACAACTTGAAATAGTTTTTCTTGGACACTTTATTGGGAATTGAATTTTTTTCCTAAAACTTTTTCAATTTAGTTATCTTATTTGTAAATCAAAAAGAAGAAAGGCATACAAGTAAATAAAGATAACATTTCTATTCGATGTTTTTAAACCCCTAGAGACACCTAGGAGGACATACTTGGCTTTTCTGTCTTCTAGTCCTTTCCTCTTCCCTTTTTTCTTGAGTTTGTTTATGTCTCAGTCATTTAGCAGTAACAGCCTAGTTCCACTGTGTTAGGGCTTAGGTTGGTAGTTTTAGGGATATGTTTAATAGATACTGTAGATTTTTTCACATCTGGGGTGGAAAGAGCTTGGATAGGGTAAATAAAAAGGGAAAAAGAATCTGTGGAAAGAGAAGATGGGAAGATTTTAATGGCAGAATGTTAACGGATTTGACCAGGGCATAAAACCAACGGAACCCGGAGGCTTCAGGGTTGCCTGAAGCCTCAGCCCTGCAGGACGTTTGACATCTTACAGGTAGATAGACCTCTGTTTCCAGGAGCCCCCAAACCAGGTAAGATTGGAGTACAGGTGGAAACCCAAAGGGACTGCTGTGGGTACCTAGCAACCAGAGGGGATCCAAGGGCCCCCTGGCCCGAAGCATCCCACATCTGGGCGCTGGAAGAGACTCTGGCGGCCGGAGCCTCACCCGGAGCCGGGGGCGGAGGACGAAGGGTGAGAGCCTCCTCCTCCGCAATCCCCCGCCCCTCGGCGCCGGCGCTCGGCGCTCCTGCGGCTCCCCATTGGTCGAGGCGCTCGCCAATCCTGGTGAAGCGGCCCCGTGAGCGGACCCTGGTTGGTGGAGCCGGCGCTGGGCCCCCCTCCTACTCTGGCCGGGCCCCCCGCCGGGAGGGGGCGTGGCCGCGGCCGTGGCCGGGCCGGAGGCGGCGTCGCTCGCGCCGCTGCGTGCGGTGTGGTGCGGGCGGGAGCGCCGGGCGGCCCCGGCGCGGCGGGACCATGGAGGTCGGAGCGCAGCCCCGGCGCCGGCGGCGGTACCGCGGACCGGTGAGTGCGGGCTGCGGCCGGCCCGGCGCTCCAGTCTGGGCTGCCCTTCCCGCCTCGGCTCCGGCCGGGCGGCTGCCGGGGGAGGGGCGGGCACGGGGCCGGGTCCCCGGCGGCCCCGCGGCCAAGCGAAGTTGCTGCATCGCGCCGCGCGCTCCGGCCGGGCGGCGGGGCCCACTGCGGGCCTCGGCGCCGCCCCGCAGCCCCGTTGCATCCTCCGTCCGGCGCCCGCGCCGCCCGAGGCTTCCCGCCGTCGCTCGCGGCCGGCGGCCATTCGCTCCCGCCCCGCGCCCGACCCTCCAGCCCCTCGCCGGCCGGGACGCGCTCCGAGGACGCGGGGCAGCAGCCCGCCCGCCTGGCCGCAAGTGGCGCCCGGGCCTCTGCTCGCGCCCCACGCGCGACGCCCCGGGCCGCCCCGCGTCCGGGACCTTCGCGTCGCTCCAGATCGCCGTGCCTCGCCCGCGTCTGCTCCAGCCCCCGCGTGCCCCCGCCCGGGTCCGGCCTCTCCTCCCCGGCGGCGCCCTCCCGGTGCCGCGTGCGTGGCGGTGCGGGCGCCGCTCCCCGAGGCGGCGGGGCCGCGTGGCTCCCGGCCTTGGTCGGGCTCGGCTCTCCGAGAGCCGGGAAGGAGGTCGGTCAGCCCCGGGGCCGCTCCGCCGGGATCCTCCGGGAGACTCTGCGCGGCGGGGCCGGCGCCTGACCCTCGCGCCGCGCTCAGCGGGGGCAGAATCTTCCCTCCCACTGTGCTGCTTCACGGGCAATGGCGATTTCTTCGTGGTGTGGCCTCGCTGAATGGGATAGTTCCCCGGTGGAAAGCAGAGTTCTTAATTATTAAGAAACTGTGCCCTGGGCTTAGGGATGAATGGGAGCATCTCATTTTCCTGGGTGCTGTTGGGTGGAATAGGAATTCTTTCTCATTTTGGGATTCGTTTTTAAATTGGTTTACTTTCAGCCATAATTTTGGATTTTCAAAAGCTGAAAGGCCACTTTTTGCTTTGCAGCTCTTCAAAACAAATGCGTAATAGAGCATGACATTCAGAATCCACATTTTATCAGGAGAGAGGCTAGCTATTTGAAATATTTTGTATCACAAACATTTGGTTTGTCTAAAACTGTTAAAATGCCTTGACTCTGTCAAAACTAAGTTCAAAGTGTTATAATTGACTTATCTTTCTGTTGCCTCTAGGGCAAATTCTATTGAACGTTGGTTGCTTCTTTTTAGGTAGGCTTTACCCAGCTTTCCTTTTCTAGAAGTTTAACAATGCAGTGATTCTTCAAAGCTAGTTCTTTTATCTACTTGAGAGGTTAAACAAAAGAAAGCTGGGTTTGACCTTTCCCAAAGGCAGTTCTCATTGTGTCCTCTTCAGCTCCCTTCTCCCAGGGTTCTAATAACTTCAATGTAGTTCTCATTTTTTTTCATTTTGAATGACTTTCGATTTTCTTAATTGATATTTAGAAAACCTGTGTCGTTTCAGATGTTTTTAAAGGTTGGGAAGTTTGGTTGACTTTATATATTTACCTTCCAATTTGTGGTTGTTCTAGAACTATCTTTGTATAAAAATTGTTCTTGCACTTCTATTTGCTGTTATGAACTTGCTTAATGGTGTTCTTTTATCTGTTTGCTTAAAATTTACAACCTAATGCTCAATGACGTGCTACGCTGTCTTACACAATTCTGATGATAAAGACGGAACACGCTTTGCCGCATGGTCATGCCAACATTGTAGCCTGTCTGTTGTCAGTGCGTCTTCATCCTACTTTACAGTTCCCATAGAAACCTGCATGTTGCAAGTAACCTTTTGGTTATTGGCATATTTTGATTAAAATAATTGCATATTGTAAGTATTAAAAGAATTATCCTACTGGCGGTCTAGTACTAGTGGTCATCTTTAGAGCTCCAAGAACTTTCTTTGAAGAATACTCACAGAATGTTTTTTACTTGGGAGGGGCTCTGCATTGCTGTACAGACCTTAAATTACTCCACTTCTCAGTCCTTTTTCTTTAGTGCCCTGTTTGCTTCTTTAAAGTCAGGCTTTTTTTGGCTTTACTCTTGGGCATTTGCAACCAAACGCTGCTGGCAGTCATGCATTCTTCTTTTGGGCTTGTTCTTTGCATTTGACTTAATTTATGCTGGTAATACAGAAATATTTTATGCCAGAAATACAGAAATAATACACATTGTAAAATTAATGTCATTATGGTATAGAGATTTATGAAGTAAAAAGGCTTAGTTTCCTTGTCCCCTCCTTATTGCTGCCCTAATCCTGTTTCTTTCTTCAGAGATAACCACACTGTGGAGTGTATCCTTCCACGTTTTTTTCATTAACCTTTTATATTCAGAAACCATTTAGCGACTGCCTACTAAGAATCCGGCACTATTTTAATCACTGGGGTTGCGAAAATAAGAGACTAGAGCTTTCAAGATGTTCATAATCTACCAGCACAAGCAATTACAGTGCAGTGTGGTAAGCACTGTGATAGAGTCAGTAATCAGTGAGGGACGCGGGAGCCTTATAAGCACCACCTAATCCATTCATTCATTCAGTAAACTTTAGAGTTTATAATTTGTGCTGGGGATACAGAGATAAGCAGGGCAGATACCTCTCTCAGTCCCAGATGAGCTTGCTGTTCAGTTCGGGTTCAATGCAATGTATGGTAGGGGATCTGAAAGTGTCCAGCTCAGAGGAGGACCACAAACCCAAGCTTAGGGGCTACTCAGAGATCAAGAAAAGCTTCCCAGAGGAAGTAGCGTGAGAAGGAACTGGTCGAAGTCTAGGCTGAGGAGAGAGTGTGCAAGGAGATGGTTAGGGAGGTGGTGCATTGGAGTAACTGAAAACAAAAGTTCAGTGCAGCCGCGTGGTAAGAGTGCAAGGGCAGGGAAGTGGCTAGAGGCGAGGCAGGAGAAGTAACTAGGGGCCACGACATGTGGGCCTTCCGATTCCTGTTGTGTGGCCTTTGGACTCCTGTGGGCAATAGGATATGATTGAAAAATTCTGAGCAAAAGAGGGACATCGTTGGATTTGTACTTTGGAGAATGGATTAAAAAGGGGGAAGGCTGGAAGGAGGGAAGCTTGAGGAGGTGGAACCGCAGGGACTTGGTGGTTGGGGGTGCACATGTGCGCGCGCGTGTGTGTGTGTGTGTGTGTGTGTGTGTTTGAGAGAGCGCGTGAGTGAATGTGATGCGAGTTGGGCGAGGGAGGTGTTTAGGTCAGTATCCAGTTCTGGCTGGGTGGTTGGGTAATGGTGCCATCCTTAGCGGGCAGCAGCATCTTTTTTGGGGAAAAGATGTTGGCTATGCTTGGCTGGGTGGTTTTAAGTGCCTGTGGGACATAATGTTCAGTTGGCTACGTTAGGGATCTGGATGTCAGAAGATATCTGGACTAGAGATACAAATTGGAGTGTTCTTAGCTGTCCCAAACAGTTTGAGGGTTCCCAAACTGTCAGCCAAGGTGCCACGGCAGACTCACAGGGAGCCTGGGGGGGGGCGTTTTAAATTGCTGAGGAAAACGCAGCAATACTTCATATCTGTCTAACCCTGTGGAAACTTCTAGCTCAGGTAGTTAAGAGTTTCTAGACTAGATTGCACGCCATTCCTTTCCGTGACCTCGTCTTTGTAAAGAGGGGTTTGCTGTACCATGCGGGTGTCAGTGTGGAATAGGAAATGAAAGAGGCAGTGTCCAGTCTGACTTCAGCTTTTGGGAGAAATGCAGCACTCAACACGTGCAGACTTACCACTAGTAAGTACTCGTGGTTATTTCAGAATGAAATAAAAATACTATTTTTCTCTCAAATGAAGTATACTTTTCTCAAATGGGTGCTAAGGTGTTAGGATGTAAATACTTAAGTTGCTATGCAGTTGTTGGCGAAAGAGCCAGCTAGATAATGGTTTAAAAGTTTCCACTGGAGTTAGCCCTGGGATATGATTAGTGATTGTGGCGAAAGGAGTCTCGGGAGCCTTGTTGCTGTGGATTCCGGAGTGAAGGGTGATGAGTAGGGGAGCCGGTCAGTTCTTTCCAAAACTGATTATGAAGAGGAGAGCATTGCATTGACTAGAGAGGGGCATTGGTGCAGGGAATTTCTTTTTTCAAAGCAGTGACTTTATTTTTTCTTATTAAAAACTTTTTTTTCAAAGGACATTTTTTGTCTTCTTTTCTCAAGACATGCTAGGAAAAGCATGGCCTCGTTGGTCTTTCTCATGGTGGGTTCTTCTCAGCCTGGCCTTGCCTTTTCCTAAGTGCTCCTGGCCCTTGGGGTCATAATATCTTTGTGACTGACCATCCCCCCTGCTGTCCTGTTCTTCTAATCGAATATTTTCTCCTGTCGGTGCTTTCTCTGGTACTGAGCTCATTGCCAGTTTCATTTGTTTTATGTCGGAGCCTGTCCCCCATCTTAATAGATAGCCTTAGATGAGAATAATTTTTCCATACTCAGATTTCACTCTTAATCTTTGCAGTCAACCCTATTCTGTTTCTTTTTTTTTTTTTTTCCTGGACCTGTGCCTATGCTCTTGGAGGTTAGCTCTTTTCTTCTTCTGTTGATTCTTTTTTTTTTTAATTTTAAACATTTCAAACATCCCAGGGTATTTTCTCATCTTTCACATCTTCTGGAGGTTCTAGACCTTGGCTCTGAGCTCAGCAATTAGGATGATTTCTCAACTTTTTGAAATTTCTCTGGGGCCTGTTCTTAGGGTGCCCTCTGACCTTCTGGAGCAGTGGTCTTGAAATTGACCTAAAGTTATCTTCCGTTGTATTATATGTTATTGAAAATTTAGTATTTTGTTTTTTTTCTTTTAGGTGTTTCTTTTCAGTTGGTCCACTAATGTTTGCATGCCTGCATGCAGTGTCTCAGACACTATTCTAGTTACAGGTGATAAGAGTGTTTAATGCAACCAAGCTCCTGCCCTCAGAAAGCTTATATTCTACTGGGGTAAAAACAAAGGGTAGGTCATCTTGCTAACTAGTTTACAGACTCTTTTTGGCAGGAACCAGATAGCAGGGTGCCTTGTA